TCTTTCTGCTGAGAAATGAAAATGCAACACCCCTTTGAATCTGTGGATGCCTGTGAATTTGTACATGTGTGTACGTGTACGTGTGTGTGTAAAGACTGTAATATATGTCAACATGTTGCACTTTAAGAAAATCTCCTGGATTTTTACCTACTCCTCAAACATACACGAGGCAGTAGGTAACATTTTATTTGACCTCGACAATAGTAAACACTACTAAAATGTACTGATGATTATAACTCTACATCTAATCCTCTTACCAGAAACATCACTCTCTGAGTTTATGTGAGAGTCCAGTGTTTTCTGGGAAATGTGCCTTCATGTTCTTCTTGTTCTACAGCTCCACAGCTTTGCATGCTATTTTGTTTTGTCTGTTCCAGAAACGTTTACTGGACTCCTGGAGCTTTCTCCTTTTCACTTTTATATTTCTATTGAATTGTTACATTCTGGGATTCCGAGCTCAATAGTGATTATTCTTTGCAGGGTAGACCTCTGGGACTCTCTTCTGCAGGTGAAATCTGCTTCGCCCTTTCATCTCTGCGTGTGGAGAGGCTTGCCAAAGCTGTTCTCTAGAGACAAGGAATTTAAATCATGTGCAATCTGTTCCAAAGGGCATATTCCATGTCTTGCCAGTGGAGCAATTTATCTTCTTTATGCTGGGGTAAAACTGAACCCAAAGACAATCTGGCTTTATTTAAGTCATTTACCAAGGGAAACATTTATTATGGCTGCTCAGTTCTAAACTAGTGAGCAAAGGTTGTTAACGTTCATGTGCCTGTGGACCTAGTTCTTCTATATGCCTACGGAGGGAGCGCCCCAAGTATAAAAATGCCACTGTATGTGAGTGGTTTGCAACATTAGCTGCCCCCCAAAGAAAGTTAGATTTGTAAAAAAAAAATAAATAAATAAGAGAAAAGAAAGTTAGATTTGCAAAACTTTCAAATAAAGGTAGTTATTAGTTGGAACTGCTGTGTGCTGTCAAATCTCAGAGGAAGATAGCTAGTATGTGGTAAATTGAACTTTCTTAATGTGAATACTCCTGTATTTTAAAACATCCTTCTCTTTGACAGAGTAGCAGAACCAATTTATTTAGTCAACAAATATAATTTAGGGCTTTACCTTGTGTCAGCTGCATAGAAGTAGCATGGAAATAGATGTTCTGTAAACAGATGGGGTAAAAATTATAGAGCTGAAAACTACAGTATTAGAAATCAAGAATTCAATGTGTTTAATTATGTCACTGGACACACAAGAAGAAAAAAAAAATCAATGAATGTGGAGATAAGTCAATAGAAATTATGTAATTGACCACAAAGTGAAGAAAAAGACTGAATAAAACTGCCAGATGGAACATTCTAGATGGATGAGATGTTCTCAAGTGGCCCAATACACGTGGGGCTGGTGTCAAAGAAGGGTAGGAGAGAATATGAAAGAAGAAAGCTCTGTAGAGACATACCGGCTGTGAGGGCGATCTGGCTGTGACATCTCTCACCCCATTGATCGCCAGGGTTCATTCAGCTGATCTGGCTGGCTAGGCGGTGTCCCCTTCCTCCCTCAACGATCCATGTGCGTCCCTCCCGAAGCTGCGCGCTCTGTCGAAGAGGACGACCACCCCCGATAGAGGAGGACCATTCCTCGCTCAAGGGTATACAAGTAGCCGCGCTCCCCTGCTAGAACCTCCAAACAAGCTCTCAAAGTCCATTTGTGGAGACATACCTAAGTTGTGTCAAAGTTAAGGAAAGACATTTATCAACAAATCAAAGGCCAAAATTCTAAAGTCAATCCCCAGTTCATAGGGGAAAGGACTGCGTGTTATTTGACTCCTGGCTACCAATATAACCTCACTTTCCTTTTCTCGTGTGATTCATCTTTAATTCTTTTCACAGATATTTCCCCTGGTAGGTACTTCTGAATATTTACATTTGGGTTAAAATATCAACGTCTCAGCTCTTATCTGACTAGCGCATCTAAAATCACCATGTCTAACCTTCATTGTCATCTCTTTATTACTCTCTACTAGGTTATCTTGAGGGTTTTCTTTTTCATAGCAGATATCATTAATTTATCATAATTTATTTTATGACTTCACTATTCCCTCACTAGAATATAAAATCTCTGAAAGCAGGGAACTTATTTTTCACTTGGCAGCATCTGCCCTCCTTGCTTACAAAAGTGCTAGGCACATAGTGGGAGGTCATTGTGTGTGTGTGTGTGTGTGTGTGTGTGTGTGAACAGACACTGAAGGTTTGGGGAATACTGGGTTCCATCGTGATTCTAAATTGCTCTGCTCACATTTACTGATGTAAGTCGCTCTTCTGGGTTCATCTGCACTTCCTCTTTTCTGCTTCTCAAATCAGTAGGGTAAATAAATACAGTGTTTTCACAATATTTTTACCACAGCATAATGGAGAAGAGGGAAGTGGAAGCTGAGGAAAATGAGGGATTAGTTTCTTTTAGCCCTGGTGCCTGAACTTACTGAGACTCTCTCAGATCTGGAGCTTTTTCCTGACTCACTTTTTCCAGTATTTCCTTATTGACCATTTCCTCTAATCAATGCTAATATGGAGTTAAGATAGGAAAATCAAACATCTTAAATAAAATTGATATGCAGGGTGTAAATAGATCTTTTCATTTTTCCAAGTACTTTATTTCTATTAATTCTATTCCTATGGTATCCATTTCAAAAGATAAGTGGACCAGTTAAAAACCTTTATATTGAAGTTAGAAAGAGATTGAGAGAGGTTAGGCGACTTTTCCCAAGACTTCACGGGAAAATATCTAGGTTTAAGCATCTAAAATTATTTCCTACCTTTTTCTGCCAACATTTATCCCACAGTTTGGATACCTAAGTCTTGCATTTCCCCTCAAGGATGTTTCCGTAGATATTTAGAGAAACTAAAAAATCAGAATATCGAAAATTTCTAATAAGGAAAGACAAATAGCAAATGATAATCTTGCTACATGGTCAGAACTTGGCATAAAATAGTATTTTCAACCACCAGGCATGTAGTTGGAATATATAAGTGAAAACAAGTTTCCAAGATGCCTGTGAAGGGTAATCAAGAAGATACGTCAGTGAAGTACTTGCTTCAGATGGCATTGTATCGGCTGTGTTTAAATCTGTCTAGATATTTCTGAAACCTTAATCATCATGCAACTATTGTCTGTACATAAAATTCTTGCACCTCTCTATTTTCTTCCAGCTAACAACTTTGTGTCTTTACTAAATTCTCATTTTATAAAGGAAGACATGAAATCTCCTCTTCTGTGGTTTCAAAGCATGGTGATATGGCTAGGTAGCAGGGCATTGTCCCTGTGTGTGCTCTGAGTCCAGCCTGACACCTCTGGGTGATGTTTAGCCAAGATCTTAATTATTACCAGTATAGGGCATGGAGAGGAGACAGTAGAAAAGCCCCAGTTACAAGTCAGGAGGGAGTAATTTGCATATGTGTAATTAGAAGTATGGGATAGAAAATCACTCACTGAGATGTGTATAACCCTGGGACACACTTTAGAGACATAAATGGTAATAAGACAATCTCTTCACTCAAGGAGTTCATAGTGAGGAAGATCCACTTAAACTATCCAAAACTCGAATGTGAAATTTTTTAACTATTAGTGTTCACAAAAGTCCCTTGTGGTCTATAAAAATGCTATGTAAATATTAAGGCATTGTGGTGGATTGATTACTGGTGGTCAACTCGTACCAGCCAGCTGAACTGAAGCAGTGTGGTGCTGGGTGTGGGAGGCCCACCTGAGGATTGTTGCTGGCAGCATAAGAGGCAGAACTGAAGAAGAAATTCAGAGGCTGTGGGGAGCCACTGGTCCTTTTGGAGGACCTTGCCATGCTGGCTTTCCTGATAGGACCCCTGCTGTTCTCATCATCAGAGGAGCTCGGGACCTCACTGTCACTGAAGATGCTCTGGTCCTTACCCTAAGCATCCCTTCCTGGCTCCAGTGCAGATCCCTCAGTCTCCTAGCACAGATCTTTTGTCCTGCTCGCACAGGTTTTCTAGCCTTCACCACTGACCTTCAGGCCTTCCCAGTGTAGATCTGTGAAACAGGCCTGCATGAGATATTGTGGGCTCTTAGCCTCCGGCTGGACTCATGGGGGCATCATCATGGGCTCTAGGTCTTCAGCTGGACTCATGCAGGACATTAGCACTGTGTCCAGGCCCTCAGCTGGATTCTTTGATCTTTAGTGTGTGGGTAGATTTCCTGCACTCTTTTTGTATATGAATCTTCAGGTGACTATTATAAAATAATCTTACAGTTAAGTGTCCTGTATTGTATTGTTTCCTCTTGCAGAACTCCAAACAGCAACATGCACTAAAAGTATGTCACAAATGAAAAACAACCCTGAAATACTTTTAAATTTTTCTTTTCTTAAATCAGAAACTCATTTTTTGATCCTTTTCCTCATCCTATTGAGAGGAGGTTTCAGACTCCTGTGATCCCCAGAGGATTACAGGCTGAAGGGAGCTGTTGATTCTTTTTGGAGGACCTTGTCATGCTGGCTTTCCTGAGAGGACCCCAGCTGTCATCACTGGAGGAGCTCGGGGAAGGTGGCCGCTTACTGGCTGGACAGTCCTGTAGTTCACAAACCACTTCGGGTACACAATACACGCTGAAACATTATTTTTGTTGTTGATGGAATGAAGAAAGTATAACTGAGTAACAAGCTGAGTGAAGAGGATTTGAAGTCAGAGGACGGCAAGAGCCTTTCCTTGAGAGTGAATATGCCCAGAAGAAATATTTTGCTATCAGGGCCCACAGTCTCCGAGAACAAGCTAGGCCCACTCTAACTGGTTTAAATGTGTTTCCAACTGAGCAGAGACCTAGAGCAGGAGCCTGCTAACCCTTCAGGACAACAAAACATCAACTTATACACGTAATCTTATTTTAGGGACAATGCCTTTTTTCTTTCTTTCTTTCTTTCTTTCTTTCTTTCTTTCTTTCTTTCTTTCTTTCTTTCTTTCTTTCTTTCTTTCTTTCTTTCTTACCTTACATTTTCTTTGTAGGTGAGAAGTCTTAGCTGGCTGATTCAATGTTTTCTCCTCTTATATGAGGTTGTAGAGGCATCCAGTGGCTGCAGAGATATTTAGTTAGTCCAAAAGATAAAACTAAGTAAACAATGTCCTTTTTTTTAGCAAGAGAGTGATAAAAATAGCAATAAAATCCAGCAGTAGCGACACTAAGACAGGCTTCGAGGAGGGTGAGCTTTCCCAACAGTGGCTACAGCAGGGAAATTTAATTGTAAAGGCAGGTTATTCTCTAGGTATAACTTCTGGGGTCACTCACTGAATAATGATAATAATTTCTGAGCAGAAATCTTCTAAATCTTGGATATATATGGAAAAAGTTAGATAAATAAGAAAATGGTTGTTAAGAAATGGCAAAATCCCAGATGCTGTAAGGATTGTATCTGAGAAAATATTTCTTTTTATTTTAAAGAGAAGAAAAATAACATAAAGACAAAAAAAAACCAATAAAAGATACAGAATTTCAAAATGATAGGAAATTAACAATGACGGTTACATACTTTTATTTTCAAAGTATTTGCTCATATTACCAGATATATATATTCAAGATTAATCAAAAAATTAAGCATTCACTATTTTTTCTAATAAACTAATAGAAATTAGTAGTATAATTATCTTAGCATATATATATGGAAATATATATATATTTTTTCCATCCTTTTCTTCCTTATTCCATCCCAGTTGTACTTTTCTTTTTTAAAAAGGATAAAAATAAAGAAAAAACAAATCACTCTGAGAAAGTTAGATGTTCTAGGAAAATGTTTAAAATATGTTACCAGATTTTAAAGGCTTCCAAAACTAGTCATTAATGGGGACAGAGTAAATCAACAGTGAAAATAAGGCAAACTCTGGCCGTGAGTTGAAATCTCTAGGTCCAGGGAAGAGGGCCTTCTAGAAACTCTGCTGATGTCTGTTTGTGAAATGATGCAAATGAAGTCCTAGAAAGATGTAGCCTTGGAAGGAGACAATAACTGGCAACTAGAGAAGAAGGTAGGCCAAGACCCAGACCAGTGCTCTAATTGTGCAAGCCACTGTTCTGCACGCTTAACTAGGGGTGGAAAGGTTAAAGACAATGATTGTAAGAACTGTCTGTAGAGAGGCAACCTTCCTAGGCTGTGAGGTCAGGATGTCAAGACCAAGTTGCTGCTTCCTTCTTTGCTACTGTAGGCAAGTTCCAGCCATCTCAGAGCCTTGCTTTTCTCCTTGGTAAATGGCAACAAAGGTTATACTTTCTTTTTAACATATTTGGCACAAGGTCTCACTATGCAGATTGGACTCATGTTGATCCTCCTGTTTTCAGCCTCCCCAGTGCGGGGATTATAGGCGTGTGCCACCGCGCCCGGACTCAGTGGACGGCTCAGCGTGCGCAGGGGTGGGGCCGGAACGGCATGTGGTACCAGGTATCAAATCCTGGTCCCTGTGTTTGCCTAAGCAGGCGCTTAGTTTGCTGAGCTATCTCACCAGCCCCAATGGTTACACTTTCAGCCTCAGTTTTATAGGAAGATTATGTTCTGCCAACAACCTATGAAATAATGAATGCTCAGAAAAGAGCAGGTATTTAATACCTATGCAACTGTTGCTTCAACTAAATTGGTGATTGACATTTGTTTTCTATAGATTTAGGGGGAGTCAGTTTGACAGCGGGAGAATATATCAAAGTGTCGCAGTGACTGGAAAGCACCAAAGGATCATCAACAGTGCTGGAGGTAAAGGTCCCAGTGAAGCAGCCACAGGGACAAAGTCAATCGAACCATTCTTTCCTTTCCCAAGAAACTGCTTCTGGCCAGAGGACCTACTGTAAGGAGTTGCACTAGAGGTGAGGATTCTCATTCATGGAGAGGTGGGAATGATTGCAGATCCTCATGCCTACATTTCTCGAAAGGATAAGTGGACAGGACCTCACGAGTAGAACATTCTTAAGTAGGGAATCCAACGTTATTCTGAGTGAATATAGAAACTGCAGGATTCCACAATAAATCAGTGTAACCACACAAGTTTAAAGGGATGATTATAGGAATTCAACTCAGAATACAAAACTTCTTACCTGCTCCATCAGCATCACTCAAAGATCGGGAACAACCTTCAGTAATGTGTTCTTTTCTATAGCTTTGTGTTCAAACTCTAAGTGGCATTAGGAGCCATCACTATTTGAGTTTACTGTGCCTCTAGACATCCTTTCTCTGTCTTCTCTCAACATTCACAGTGAGTTTCCCCATTCAGATCCCACATTGCTCTACCTCTGAGCATTGGTCCATGATCTTCACCTGCCTCCAAAGTTACGTGACTTAACACTTTACCCGCCCTGGCATCTCCAACCCGTATGCCACGTTGCTCCCAAGTGCAGCCTGTGCCCCCAGTTGGTAGACATCTCAGATGGTGTTGTGTTCATCCTCCTCACTGTCTGGATCATTTTCATGCAAACCATTTGCTCTTTTGGGTTACAGGTATTTGATGAATAACTATTTGAATGTGTAGCACAGCTCTGCTCCTCAGTGGACAGTGCAGCTCTTCTCCAGGGAACTCAGGGTTCACTGCTGATATCTTCTTAACTCATTTTATGAATACGTACTTAATGCCCAGTCTGTGCCAAGCACTCAGCCGGTGTTCACCTCTGTCACAAGACCTATCACTATATACACCTGTAATCCCAGTAATCGGGAAACTAAGGCAAGAGGATCACTGGGAACTTGAAGTCAACATGTGCTACACAGTGTGTTCAAGCCCAGCCTGGGTCACATAGCAAGATGTTGTCTCAAACAAATGACCAAATAAAAATACAGTAATTGTCTATTTCCTTGTCATGATTTGAATATTTCTCAATGACTCTTAGAGAGAAACATACACAAAAGCCCAGAGTAAACCATTTTTATAGGGAAGACTATTTTTTAATTTGTCAGGCTTACCTGGTATTTGTATTTTCATGGCAGAGGCCTATGAAAAGGACAATAAAATTTAGAAAGCTTTGCTGAGAATCCTCTTGCTCCCTAGCAGCTGTCTCTATGTAGATATTAATATTTAAAGCCAACCCAAGTAGAATTAAACAAGAAACTGAACCCAGCCACCCTCTCAGCTCTGCACTCTCTTGCGTCCTGCTCACATAATGATAATGATGACATGGGTTGGAGACTGCAAAGTATCAGCCTTTGCAGGCTCTCTTCTCTCCCCAGCAGGCTTCCCACCACTCCTGCCCTGGTCGTACCACTCCCTGTACCTGTGCAGCCTGCTGCCTCTGAATCACTGAACTGTGTGTTTTGGCCATTTTTCTCTTCCTCTTTGATTTTACAGTTGCTTTTAATACTATATTAGGAGTAGTAAAGAGCAATTCAACCAGTAAGGACCGACATTACTGATTTGATATTTTCCATATACTTTCTGTCAGAACATCCCATGACAGGATTCCTGTCTCTTATTCAGATTATTCCTGGACCTGGTCTGATTGACACAGATATAGTCACAAGGAATTAAATTTATATACTCTTGACAGTTCTTTTATTACCTATCAATCAGGTAGGTATACCTGATCCCCTTGAACTAGAGATCAGATATAGTCCTCTTCCCAAGGATGCTAAAATAAGATAGAATCAAGAAAAGTGGAAAAACCAGAAAGACATGCTGTTACTTAAGCCAGTACTCAGGAATATCCACATAACTCAAGCTGGCAAGAGAAAGTTTGAACATGGGTCATGGTCATTGAAAAGCAAGTAAATGGGACCCACCGAGGGGGACCTTTCAGAGTAGGGATCTTTCTAGGCATGATGGGAATCTCCTGAGCAGGGTCTTTTATAGCCATGTGCACCTTATTCTCAAGATTTACATCTCATTTCCTTCAGAAGCTTCCAGAATTTTTCCATCCTTCTATTTTCCATAGTATTCCTTGTAAGGATCAGGTAGCTCGTACTAGAACAGCAGCTATAGGGCTGAGAAGGTAGAGGGGGCACAAAAGGACCTCAAGAGGTGGAGGAAGTGTCATGCACTGCACTTGATGTTACAATGCTTGGCAATATCAGTGACCATTAGTGTCATGTTTAGTGAATAAGCAAACAGGTGAGTGATGAATTAATACATAAAATCATTTTAATTTCCCTTCTTTCTTTCTTTGTTTTCATTGAGTTAAACCTTCCTGAAGAAAATATTATTATCTCTTTCCAAAACACCAGGAGAGTCTCCATGACCTTCTGCTTAGTGGTATAATACATACATTGCACTATATAAAATTCTATACACACACCTTATGATATTAGTGAACAGATTGATAATTTTCTTTTTGTCTAACACTATTATGTGTGTGTGTGAAGTCCTTAGAAAATTAGCTTGGGTTCTTGGGAGATAGCTCTGTGGCACAGAGCTTGTTTGGCATGCATGAGGCCTTGGGTTGGATCTCCACTACTGCAATTTAAAATAGAAAGAAAGAAAAACATCCCTGAGCCCCTCAAGTTGCGAAGCTGGTGCTGAATCTCCAAGCTCACCTAAAAATGGATTAATTAAAAATCAGATTAATTGCATAGCCTTGGAGCAGAGAGGCAGCCAAAATATAGATTGGTTTTCTTTATCCAAAAACTAGTT